CCAACGGCAATTTGATTCTATGTTCTTTTAGAGAAACCATAGGAGATAACCAATGAATAGTAATTATGATAAACGTCTATAACAGAAGAGAGTAAAAAATAAAGATCCCTCCCTATGAATAATAGATACCAAACACATTTAAAAGTACTCCAAACAATTTGAACGAGTCACCCCCACCATCCATTTTCTGTAACAAGCCAACAGAAAACGGGATGCAGGCACTCCCCGGGGGCATATTATATTTAGATCCCAGACAGGTCCTCATTTCATCAACAAATGCTCTCAATAACCAGCCCTGCCTTTTCTTACCCTCTCCACCTTCAAATATCCCACTAAATTAAAACCTGACGCACCTATCGAGCGGAGCCTAGAGCCTAGAGCCGCCTCACCTGTTCGCTGGGCTCTCGGGTCCCATGGCCACCCTCTTCACCTTGGCGACCGCTGCCATTTACGATCAGTCGGGAACATGTCTCCGCAAGTGAAAGTGTAGTGCCCTCGTCTCTGTATGGGATTTACTGGCTCGCAGCTTAGGACGGACTACAACTCGTGGGGAAACGTGAGCAAAGGTGAGTAGGCGAGTGAGTGTTTGTAGCCGGGAAATGCGAGTGGCGTAGAGGAACGGCAAACCCTTAGGTAAGACTCTGCGGTTTCCCACGGGCGTGTGTGTTGTGAGCGGGGTAGGAAAAGTGGGCACGTCGGGGCACCAAGGTTATGTTTTGGGCATGCGAGCCTTCAGGTCCTTAGCACCCAGGGAGGAAGAGGAGGAGGAGGAGGAGGAGGAGGGAGGGTATTTAGAGGGAGAAAGGTAAGAGAAAGAGAGACGGGGAGTGATAGAGAGATAGATAGGGAGAGGAAGAGATAGGAAGAGGGAGTGGGTGAGAGAAGGTGGGAGAGGGAGAGACGGAGAGTGAATGAGAGGATGGGAGACGTAGAGGAAAAGGGACAGGTTGTGATGGAGGAAGAGAAATATAGAAACAGAGAGAGAATAAGGGAGACGGGAAGGACGAGATAGTGAGAAAGAGAGAGAAAGAGAGAGAGAGAGAGAGAGAGAGATGAAGAGAGTTAGAGACTAGGTATGGGAGAGGGAGAGAGAGAGGGTTCAAGAATATGAGAATGAGAGAAGGAGAGAGCGATAGATAAGAGAGAAAATGTGAGAGGCAAAAGTTAGAAATAGACAGACGGAGAAACAGAGGAGAGACAGAAGGAGGAGCGAAAGTGAGAAATCGAAGGAGAATGAGAATATGAATATAAGAAGTGAACGAGAGAGGGAGAAAGATAAACAGAAATAATAATGAAACGAAGAAAGAAAGTAAAAAAGAATGAAAGAAAAGACACGAAAAAGGATAGAGAAAGAGACGAAAAATATATCCAAAAGACAAACACAAACACAAACAAAAACAAAACAAAAAACAAACACCCCTCCCCCCAAAAAAAACTACCCCCCAAAAACAACAACAACAACAACAACAAAACAGAAACAAGAAGAAAACCGACCCATCCCCTCCCACTCCCCTCCACACCCCACCCCACCCTTCCCCACCCCCCCTCCTCAAAAAAAAAAAAAAAAAAAAAAAAAAATCAGATAAATCCCCCCCCAAAATAAACAAAACAAGAAGACACCAGGAAAGAGACCGCAGCGACGGAGATCCAAGGGGAAGGAGAAAGAAGGCACTCGACGCCGTGTTTATGCATAAATGTTAACGCTCGTCTGTTCGTGCCATGATTGATTCCCGCGTCTGTGCCTGCGGGTTTGGCTGGAAGGGATGGTTGGGGGGGGGGGGGGGGGGGGGAAGGATGGATGTATGGATGGGGGGGGGGAAGGAATGGTGGATGGGTGGATGTATGGATGGGGGGGGGAGGAATGGTGGATGGATGGATGGATGGGGGAGGAGAGAAGGGATGGTGGAGGAAGGGGGGGAGGGGGAGGGAGAGGAGGGAAGGATGGATGTATGAATGGGGAGGGGAAGGGATGGTGGGGGGGAGGAGGGGAGGGGGGAAGAGGAGGGAAGGATGGGGAGGGAGAGGAGGAGAGGATGTATGGGGGGAGGGAGAGGAGGGAAGGATGGTTGGGAGGGGGGGAGGGAGGAGGGAGAGGAGGGAAGGATGGATAGATGGAATGGGAGGGAGAGGAGGGAAGGATGGATGGATGGGGGGGGGGAGAGCAGGGAGAGGATGGATGGATGGGGGAGGGAAGGAGGGAGGGGGAGGGGGAGGGAGAGGAGGGAAGGATGGAATGGGAGGGAGAGGAGGGGGAAGGATGGAGGGGGAGGGAGGAGGGAGAGGAGGGAAGGATGGATGGATGGGGGGGGGGGAGAGCAGGGAGAGGATGGATGGATGGGGGAGGGAAGGAGGGAGGGGGAAGGGGAGGGAGAGGAGGGAAGGATGGATGGATGGTTGGGGGGAGGGAGAGGGGGAAAGGTAGGGAGAGTGATGGAGGGAGGGAGGAAGAAGGGGAAGAGGTGGAGGGGGATGGGATGGAGGGGGAGGGGGAGGAGGAGGA